AAAACGTCTGCAGTTAAAATATACAATTTATATATATAATATATATATATATATATATATATATATATATCATAAGGGATATCATAAATTTTATCCTAATTTAAATTTTTTTTATCTATTTTTGCAACAAAAGCTCTAGAAAAGTGCTCATATAGAACGTGTAGTTCCGATTTCTGCAATCTTGCCTAATATGTATTTTATTATCATATTACATATTATACTATAATAAAATTTCGTTATAGAACAATCATCTACCGAAACCTGGTATCCAATGGTCGGTGGTGTAGCCCCAGAGAAACAAGGACTCAGGGGTGGTAATTCATATGCACCAACTTATGAAGGAGGAAATTTTGCTGCCTTATTTAAAGCTAGTTGCATATCAATCATTTTAAGTAGTTTTGTAATATTACTCCTATAAGATAATCGTTCAAGAAACAAATACAACTAAAATAAATCAGAAAAATCCCGACAAAGCGTATCGAAAATAGTTGATTATTGATGTGGCAGTGTAAAATAGTGAGTCAATGAACTATGGGTATATGTGTTTACTTAAATTAATAACTATCTGTATTGAAATTACGAGATAGCAATTATTAATTAAAAACATTTTGAAAACAAATAGTAACAATTAAATAAAATGCTAATTGTCCTTTCCGCTAATTTTTAAAATCGAATTGTAACTGTAATTGCGTGCTCATCATACAACTGTTACTAATTTCGTTTTTTTAAATTGTCTTAATTAGATTAATCTTTATAATTAAGCCTGTAGTTGATTTTACATTATTTGATCGATCATGAATTAAAAAAGAGGCAAAATTTTGCTGAACCACCCGCCTAACTAAATTTGTCCTGTTATAGCAAAATCATCAATTTATGAAAGCATATTTTGAAATTTTTGTTATTAACTCAGCGGTATCCAAACCCCTCGGAGGGTCGCCAGGCCGTTTCTAAGGGGGCGCTTACGCCTGTTTCCAGAATACTATTTAGAAAATAACCCAAAATTTTTGAAATGATTTAAAAATTAAAAAGAATAAGTTTTTATGCAATATTTTTACATAATATTGCATATTAATTTGTAGTCTGATAATATCAGTTGAGTATTTATAAAATTAAATTGTTGAAAAAATTAAGGGGGGCCGCAACAAATTTTTTTATTAGAGCAGGGGACGCGGTGCAAAAAAGGTTGGGAACCATTGTATTAACCACCATTTTACGACCAGGTGTGTTGATCTGCAAATAGTTTCATTTTATATTAGTACAACACTATTAAAATTTCTAAAATCGGGCAATTCCGACGTACATAAAAAAAATCGATGCAGGTGCATTAGATCTTGGTTATTCTTTACATATAATTGGTCTCATTCAGTGTTATCAGTTATTCAGTTATTTCCATTGTGTAATTATTTGTGTAATTGATCAGTTAGTTTTTATCATTAAGTGTATTCAAAACTCTTTCAATTTCCCAACCCGACCACGCCGATATTTCCAGACCACGTGTAGATGTCGTCTTGGACTTCCATGCAGATAACTTTTCTTTTCTTTATTAATATGATTATTAAGGTTAGCATTTAGAATTTATTTTGTTTTATTTATGTGTTACTTCATTTATTTGTCTTTGAAGAAGCACATATTCATTTACTTCTTTAATTTTTCTGAATGTACTTAATTTTCTATTCTTAAAGAATAAAATATCGAGAGGGTTGAAAAAAAACCCAACCTTGGTTGTCATATTTTCTAAAGACAAAACGTCCATTTCCAATTAAATGCGAAACAATTGCAATATTTCATGTAAAAAAATGTGAAAGATCGATATTGGTTTAATAGCATACCAATAAATTTTGAAGTAACACATGATCTATCGAGCTGTTGTATGGATTAAATATATATTACAATTTATATACAAACTACTGAATTAAGTAATTATTAAAAATAATTTACAACTAAATAAATGTAAACGACCACGACACCCGCTTAATAGTACTTGAAACCATAGACATTAAAAATATTATATAGAAATAAGTGTATAGAATTATTATAATTACCATTAGTTTTATATGTATAGAAATAAATACATATTAAGCACCAAACATATAAAATTTTAGATCTCACTAACAGTAAAAAATGTTTGGAGACACATAATTTATAAATGTAGATCTCACTAAGCAGTTAAAAATATTTGGAGACCCATATTTTATAAATGTAAATCCATAAGTGTATATTTTATATAATCAATCATATTGCCTTATTGAAAACCGTCCTCACACAATAATCTTCCGCTTTTATAAATGTTCAATAGATACTTGTAAAAATTGGATATAATTTAGAATAGATACTTAATAATAAACAATATAATTAATAATATATTAGTTAATATATAAATTCTTCGTTTTATTAATGTTGAATTAGTTTATCATTTTTTGACAACTCATTTAAATGTGCAAATTTTACTATGCAAAATTACAAATATTTGCAATAAACGTATCAGCTCAATACATAATATAGTTGATCATTAAATTATGAAAACAAAATGGAATATTTTTTTTAAATCTATAAGGTTTCTGCTAACTAGATCACAGATTTTAAGGTAAAAATGGTTTTCAATTATTTTTTTGCGACTAGAATTGTTTATTAAGCTATCAGTGTCTTCAAAATGTATAAAATTTTATAACAAAAAGATCATATATCTTTTGCTTTTGTTTATTTCTCTTATAAAACATATTTTATGCTGACAGTCTTCACAATGAATCACAAGCTACAAAAGTTTGCACTAATTATCATTAGATTGTTTATCACGTTGAACATCCTGCTATTCTTTTAGAAAATGTGTTCAGGGACCACAAAATTTTTGTAATTACAATTTAATTTTAACTATGCTTAATAAAATTAAATGAAACAAATTTCTTTCTAAGCTAACATATGATATCTGATAGATATGTCTTTCACCCTCATGCAAAAAGATATTCATAGCTCAATACAAAAGATAACGCCAAATTCTTTTCTTTATAAGATTAACTATTGGCAACTCTTTAATATTTCATTGCTTCTAATTTGTTAGTTTCTTTAAATCAATCACGGCAGCTTCTATGGTAAAAGCTTGAGCAGGAATAATATGCTGGATATTATTTATACTTATTCCTTGTCCAGATCTTTAAATGTCCAGTACATGATTTATCAAAAAAAAGACAACCAGTTAGAATATCCCTTAACATGACTTACTAAAGGCTATAAATCTAAGTTACCTTCTTAGATGTTTTTTTGTCTTTTATTCCATATTTCAACTGCCTTCTACAAATGTTCATAAGAGCATTTCACACGTTTCCCCAAGGCTAAGCATTCTTCATAACAAAACTTCTAAATATTTTATCAAAATTCATTATAGCCAATCTTGCCGAGTGAATTACTTCTTATTCTGGGGTCCATTATGCAAAGAAAGCTTTCAGAATCTCTAAAATTATACATTATGTATATAAATATAAACAATCTTGATTTCAAAAATAATTATTACTTTCCAGAACTAGTAGTAAATCGATACATCCCTAACTATAGTTAGACTTATCTATAGATAAGTTTTAACAATGCATGCGACTGAATTTTTACTACACAAGTTTATTTTATGAATGAATGCTATATACCTCAAATTATAATCTGCTTCATTATCAATGAACCATTGTCTACAGTCCTTTGCTAATTCTTCATAATCATGCCCCCCACAATTAAGTGGAAGGAAGGATAATTTCTAAGTTTTGAATAATCGATGCATCAAATCCGTTTCTTGACATGCTAAAACAGAATAAACAAATATTAAACTAGAAGTAATACAAAACAAAATCAGTAATATATGAAAGTAACCTTTATAGGAGCCTGTTCTGTTCCTATAAATTTTTGCACACCAGGACTGGCGCTTTTCTTGATTTAAATGAAGGAACTATCGATTTTATAAATAAATCTGAAGGTATCTAAAGTTATAAATAATTAAAACTAAAATAATTAAAGAATTAAATATATAAATATTTTCTTGTCATTTTAGACACCATTGAATACAAACATGTTGAGCTCGAGAGTAGTGACTTGCCATCTTGCGAATCGTAAAAGTCAATCGTGAAAAGTAAAATAGATGGCCAAGAAACAAGAAATATGGTATTGTAAAAATAATATTATAGTCTCATTATTAACTTTCCGTAAGGCAAGTTATAGTAATCGCAAAAAAATCGAAAATGAAAATGTTTATATATCTTTACGTTTCAAAGGTTTCTGAACATTTTGGCATACCTTAGAAAAAATGAATGTATGTGTGTGTGTGTGTGCGGATATAATTTTTGTCGACGATTCAGGAACACCGATCAACCGATTTGAATAATTCAAAAACATTTGATTCGTATTGATAAGGAGACGTGTTGATTAGTTTTTGGCGAAAGCAGGTCTAGCCGTTCCGAAGATACGGTACAAAAAGTGCCAAAAACGGTAACTCAGTTTTTAAGAGAACGGAGCGTCTAATTTTGATAATTCAAAAAACATTTTACTTGTATTGACAACATGAAGAACTGATTAAATTTTTGGAAAGGCAGGTCCAGCGGTTATGAACTTTCAATAAAAAATGTCATTAGGCGGTCAAAAATGTTTATTGGACATATGTACATCAAATTATTAGATATTTTATAGAGATTTTAATAATGTGTACACATTTTATATATTTTTTTTTGGGTTCCGTACCAAGATTTTTAATTGCGGTACGGGAATTTCCAGCAATTGCCTTAAGGCACGATGCCATGCACTCCACTAGTTTATTACTTTAATTTCGACCACCCAACACTTCCAAGATCTGCTCATACTCCAACTATCACATGTATCTTTCTCTATAAAAAATCTAATCTCTATAAAATTTGCAGCATTTCATTTCAGGAAAAACACTTGTCGCATTATGTGATAGTAAATTATCTGGAACCGGCCGGTATTCAAGGAAGGCGAAAATATAAATAATAATAAACGTTCTCTTTTCGTAATGTGTGTATATATATACAAACTCAAACAGATTTGCAACACAATGGCTATTTGTTTTGCTTTTATCGGTCAATGAGCGAAAACCGTGCAAAACCGGTTCAAACCGATTTTGATACGAGGAAACGCGTACGCACCCACGGGTATTGTATTTATAGATCTGGATAAAGACAGATAATGTTATTAATTATGGCGTTTATCACTTCGATGGGCGAAATGCGACGATTATTAACCAGAAACTGTTTTTTGTTAAAAAAAATATGTATATATGTAGCGGGTTGCCAACACGCATAGCGGCTTGTCAACACGCATCACATGTCTCTGGACAGATTGGCCCATATAGTGACAGCACGGAGAAAAACAAAAGAAAATTCAAGTGTAATTATGGCGCTAGTGGGCCATATATTATTAATTAATTAATTC